AGAGACTTAAGTTTGATTAGCAGCGGAGCTGCTAATCCAATAGGATCATAGACTGAATTTAGCTGGCTTACTATGTCCCTTTTGCGTAATTTTTCTAACGATGAAAATTTCGTATTGACAGAAAATTGATCTGTTTCAATATCAAATTCTACACCAAGAAATTTGATCTTTTTACCCGCTAACTTGTCTTTTTCGGGTATGGCATTGTTGACTTCTACGGAATTAGAAATGAATTCTCGTAGATTTAGCCCAATTTCTGCAAACATTTCTTTGGCAAGTTTGCATTTTGAAATTGCTTCTTCCGCAGTTTCGGCTTGAAGCATAATGTTGTCGACGTACAGATTTTTTGCAATTTCTTTTGATAAATCTGTGTCTTTTGCATCGAGAAACTTCATAAGCACCATATTTAAAATGCTAGGTGATGCGGTGATACCAAAAGGCAACCTTTTGAATCTATACTGTATGATGTTGGTTTTTACAGGTGGTTCAGTGGTATTTTTGAGCCATAAAAATCTACATAGATCTTTGTGGGCATCTGGTAGTCTGATTTGCGTAAATGCTGCTTCAATATCGCACAAAACGATAATTTTTGGGAAACGACTAGCTATTAGGATGTCGTGAATTTTGTTTGTAAACGACTCTCCCGTTGCAATAACCTCGTTGAGTGATATTTGCCCTTTTTGCTTTGATGATGCATCAAATACAATTCGCAGTGGTTTTGGTTTTTGGGGTTTCCACACTCCCGAATGTGGCATATAGTAAACTCCACAATTTTCCTCTAATATTTCTGGTACTTCTTCGATAATGTCGTTTTTGAGGTAGTCTGCCATAATTTTGCAATACCAGTTGTTTTGTTCGTTATTTTTGCGCAACTGGTGCCATAAAGAAACGAGCCGACGCTGAGCGACGGGGTAGTTATCCGCGAGGTCAGCGATGTTGTCTCGCAGAGGGAACGGAGCTGTAGCGTAACCGTTATCGTAAGATATCGATTTTGAATACTCTCGGAAGTAATTGTAGGTAACCTCATCTTGTTTTGCGTCATCAGCAAATATGCCTAAACCGTCGAGTTCAAGCATGTTTTGTAAGATGACCGCCTCAGATTTTTCGTTTACGAGCGTTAATCCATACATTATTGGAGATTGGGCGACTTTTGAATTGGGTTCAGTTCCTCGCCCGTGAATTGCGGGGCCGAAAATGGTCCTCGCAATATGTAATCCCGACGGTAGGATCGAAGTGTTTTGCGTAGCAAGCATAAAACTATAGTAGTAATCTAATCCGACCAATATATGTGGATTCTGGATTTCCCCTTGAACTCTTGGATTGCATAAATAGATTTCCTTATGTTGCAAGAACTTTTTATCGTCAGCTGTTAACTTAACAGACGGAAAACCGTTGGTTATAATTGGTTTTGTTTGAATTTCAAAATTCAATTCGTCGCCAAATGCTGACAGAACCTTGATTTGCACGTTATTGCTTTGAAATTTCTCAATGTGTCCGCCGATTCCCGACATAGTACACAATTCTGCACCTTTACGCGGTAGTCCAAATTTTGCAGCGATCTGCTCTTGAATGAGCGTTTTTTGTGCTCCTGTATCGAAAAAGAACAAGACTTTTTCGTATTGGCGAGTATTGTAATTCCAAATATTGCCTTCTGCCGTCATGAGCACAATTTGTTCCTTTGTTCGTGAATTTTCGACTTTTGGCGGCATTTCATCATTTTGTGGTACGTCGGTGGTGTGAATATTTGCTTGGTTGGGTCTCCACCATGGCTCATTTGGCCTATTGCGCAACGGATTGTTCGCAAATCTCGACTGTGCAGGCGTACGCCTGTTTTGATACTGATTGTTGTTAGCCGGGTTATACGGCCCATTGTTGTTTCTAGTTCTGATACATAAACTAGTGTTGTGTGCTTGATTGCATACTGAGCAGTTTGCCCAGGAGCACTGGAAGCTATTGTGATTGTCTGCTAGACATTTCCAGCAAAGTTTCTTTGCTAAAACCACTTTTCTCTTGGAGTGCGCATCAGTTGCTTTGCAAAGTGTGCCTAAATGATCTCTATTGCAAAATATACATTGTCGTACTTTGCTTCTGGTATCTTCTTTGTGATGAAAATCCTGAGGTTTTGGTGGTTCTCTTCCACGGTTTCTCAGTCTGGAATCTACAAATATTTTTGCCGAGATTTCCTTATCGAATTCCTTCATCAAATTCTCTATTGTGACCGATCCTTTTTGCTGAACGGTTTTGAGCACGCTTCTTACAATATTTTGTGGAAATTTTTCTATAATTTTTTCCGTCCACAGAGCATCGTTACTTTGCCGGATGTCTTGGCCGGCGGATACCATTTGATTGATGAGGACACGAATTTTGTCGTATCTGTCCATGCAACTCTCCGCGGAGCCATTTGCAGGTAGCATATCCTCTAATTTTTGCACAATTCTTGTGCGATTTATCGGTTTATTACCGTATTTCCTTTTGAGTTCCTCAGTCATCCATGTATAATTCTGTGGGATTAGTTGTATACCTTTCACAGTTAGCTCAGCCCTTCCTCTGAGGCTGTCTTTAAGAAAGAACATTTTTTCTACTGTGGTCAAACTTTTGTTTTGATCCACTAATGTGTTAAAAATACCCCAAAATTCGGGAAATTCTTCTTCATCTCCATAAAAGCGTGGTAGCTTCATTTGATGGAGTTTCAAACTTTGACCGGCCATTTCGTTACCATCTGTCGCATTTCGGCTGTCATCAGAACTGTCCTCTGTAAGCCAGGCAGCTTCTGTTGGATTAATTACCTCATCAGTGCTTTTACTCTGTGTAGGTCTCCCAGGATCCGATAATATTTCGGTCTGGGATAGATTGCTGGTTATACCCAACTTTCTCGCCATTTTCTCGGCGTAATTCTGCGCTTCTGATAGTCTTTTGGTCAATATGCACACCAATTCGGTGGCGTTGGCCATATGCTCGATAAAGTTTGTCTCGATTTCTACCTCTTCCAAACTTTTATCCGCATCTCTTTTATCGAGCTTTTGGGCTTCTGTGTGAGCTCGCAGCAGTTGGTCTATTAAAGACTGTAGCGAATCCTTGCTGATTTGGATGGCGTTTATGGCACCCTTTATGCTGTTACATGTTTCGTGGCACGCTTCATAGTTGTCCTCAAATGAAGCGTTCAGTTGCATTTCCTTCGCATATGGTGTGAATTTATCCACAAATGATTGAAGGGATTCTATGCCGCGAGTAATGGCTTTTTTATGTATAAACATCGACATTGCTCGAGGCGTTGTCGTAGTTCAATTCCACAAAGGATAGAACTGTTGATGCGCTGCTTACCGCAGGGCTAGGTATTGGCTCAGAAATTTGGCCGATGCACCAGAATTGTGCCACTATAGGGCAACTGTAACTGGGAGATAACACAACACGTCGCTATGAACGTTTATTGTGACACTGAGGAAGCTTACAACAGAAGACCCCGTTGACCCCCGAACCCGCCCGCTTTACTGCGGGATGATTAATGTATAGGTCGGTTCGGCCACGATACGTAGCAAATGGCCGAACAGCAGCCATTTCCAGCCAGATAAAGTGTATTCTATAGAGGATGACCGCAGCATCAGGTGGCATAAAATTGAAATCAAAATCACCAGTAACTTTGCAATTGCAATACTGCAAAGTTAGGCTCCCAGACTTTTGCCGCACCCTGTATATACTGTTTGCTTCAATCCTGGGCCGAAATTGGAATGACGGGCATCCCTCGCAACAATCCGCGGTGTTTCGCAACTGCAATATATCACACCGCGCTGAAATCCTACGTCGGCGTCTCCTCATTCTCTTAGGTCCCCAATAGTCAGATTGCCAGCGCAAAGCGCTGGCAAAGATCCCATTGAGGCGGACGCACTGCTCCATACGTAGTGCGTTGGCCTACATCCGGTTGCAACAAAATGTATGTGTACATGACAGCCCTTCTTGTCAATGTTGAACTGCAAGCTAGAGCGCGCATATCGCATACAGTCATGGTGTGACCATAGAATCCACAACGACGCATGTCTTAACCTTGGCGCGCTTTGCGTCTATATCCAAATGAGATCAAGAGTTTGGAACGGGGGCCACCTCCGCGGACTAGTGGTACTGGAACGACGTGCAACACCACTGCAAAAGGACTAGTTGGCCGCCAGTTTGGCCACGAAAGGCGGCTCAAACTGGCGGCCTTTGTTCTGCTACCCGTTTGGAACGGGTAGGGAGCCGTCATACTTCGCCGAAAAAAGCCCAAAAAGCCCAAAAGAGCCGGAAAACGCAGAAACGAACTTTCGGTAGAATTCTGACACTATTCTGATGTGCAGACGACAGAAAGTGAAGCAAAAAGACTCGGCGAAATCAACACACATGCCTTAGCGTCAAAGAGGAGAGTTTCGGCTTTTTTGGGCTTTTTGGGTTTTTTGGGCTTTGGGATTTTCCGGACTTCTTCCTTTTTGGGTTTTTTCGCCGAAGTATGACGGGTCCCGTAGAGGACTATATGTCGCCGAAAGGCGTCGTCTTCAGCGATCATCTGCAACAAATGCGCATGAAGGGAGGTGCGTTTTTCCAAGAAGTCCGCGAGGGACGCACCCACCTTCGAAGATGTCCTCCACCCGGGTGTAGGACGATTCGCACGACCGTAATGGTTTCCACACGGGAGCCCCGCCGAGCACAAAACCCTGCGGCGGCTTTTGCCTAAGCAAAACAGGGGAAGGAAAGATTTGCGGCGTGCATTACATGTTAAGACAAGTCAGACTCAGGGAAACGTTGGAGACCGCCCGTGCGAAAAGACCGTCTCCCACTCCACCCGTTTGGAAAGAGTATGTTGACGATATTTTAGCGTTCTCCAGCGCTATATTCTCGGACCAGAAAGGTTTAGCACAGTTGTGCGAACAGTTCTTCAGTTGACGGCCCGGACGTTTGCACTTTCCAGAGGCAAATCACTGAAAATCTATTGTCACGGAGAGCGACGGGACCCGAGCAGCGGCTTCGTCTCAACGCATTCCATTCTAGCGGAATACCCATACTTGCACCGTCCGTATAGCCTTCTCACATCATTTTGTTCTCCATGTCGGCCGGCGTTGCAACAATGCTCAGAGACCGAGGTATATAACTTTCGAAGTAGTAAGCAACATATAACTACATTATCGAATAGTTTCTGACTTCAGTGTTCTTCACGAAGGATTGCAAAAACTGTGACGTGTTCTTATGCGATTGTACTTTCGATGGATTCTTAAAGACACTTCTCAGACGCGTCAATGGAAGAGATGAGCACGTTCAGATTCTGGTTTTAGTGTCCACCCGCGAACTCGCATTACAGGTAATCTACTTGAAGACTTACACAACTCTTAAGAAAGATGTACTTTCAAGCTTGAGATGAAGAGCTTGGATTTGAAGCTTTATGGTGGCTTAACAGTCTTATGGTAATATGGTGTATCGGCTAACCAGTTTTATAGTACAGCCAGTGTCGGAGTTTGTGGCTCCTTTTGTGTATGTAAAGAGGCTATTATAGCTTCACTGAGACGTCAACATGCTTTCGTCCAGCGGTAGAATGCTGCTCCTAGTAGGCGAAACAAAGTACCTAAGTTGAGCTGCGTCTTATTCACAAACATCACTAGTTGCAAGTTAGGGACTCAAGGCTCACTACTTGCATGTTGGTGACTCAAGGCTACAGTGGTGTCTAAAAGGAAAATTGATAAGATTGCAAGAGGTGCCGGCTATATCGGCACGATTTTTACTCAGTGCAATACATGGTTAGAGTACGGTGAAGATATATCCTGCAGTTTCAGATTACCGAAGCGATGAAGAAGTTTGCCAAACCTATGTCTATCAAGGTGCATGCTTGCATTGGAGGAATTTCTGTCAGTGGGGAGAAATTGGCTTTATCCAGTGTTCCTCACGTTATCATTGGTACTCCAGGCCGCGTGAAGCATATGGTTTCTTCAGGGTTTCTGGGTAAGCATGTCATATGCGTTTTGTTTCTTTCTCAAAGGCCTGTGCCTTTTTTTTTCATTTTCAAAAAAAATGTTGTATACAGGGGTTATTCGATGTTCTGATTACGAAAATGATATTCATTTTACATGGTAGGACCTTTTTTGAGGGGTTACGGTAAGTATACGGTGTGAGATCAAACTCAGATCTTGCTGGAACTCTGCAGAGTGGGGTCATTCGACATGCTGATCACGATTGTCACGCTTTTTCCGCACAAAAACGTCTCCCTATATGGTTATGGTAGGTGTACGGTAGGAGGTCAAAATCGTAATAGCTGGATATCTGGGCTAGAGGGGTTGTTTAGCAGGCTGAACATGTATATATATCATATCAGATTCGCAAGATGGCGCCATTTTCTTGAGTTACGATAGGTATGAGTTGGTTGGGTCAAAGTCCCAAATTTGCTCAAAACATGCCTTAGAGGGGGTTTCAAGCATGCAGATTACGAATATCATGCTTGCTCACTGCAACAATGTCTTATTGTGGAATCACGGTAATTCGCAATCTATGGATAGGCACGATTTCTGCTTTTCAGGTCGATTACATCCCAAAAATTGACGAAATGGCTTTATCAAGCAAAATGAGAGCGATATTCGTGATCAGCACAACAGATAAAATCCATGCACAAAGTCTCAGGCAAAACTACGGTTTTGATTCCTTACCGTATACCTACCTAACACCACAAAAAGGTCCCAAAATGCACGAACACTACCTATTCGTGATCAGCATGTCGAATAACCTCTCTCTGCTGAGTTTCAACAAGATCTGAGTTTTTGACCCCACACCGTATATCTACCCCACCATATGGCTCTATGGTAAGGAATGAATGTGTTATTTGTGATCAGCGTGTCGAATAAAGCCCCTAGACGAAATTTCGGGTGAATCCGTGGTTTTGGCCCCACATCGTACACCTACCGTAACCTCACAAAAATGGTCCTTTCGTTAAAAAAGGGTACGATTTTCGTGATCAGAGTGTCAAATAACTCCTGTATGCAAAGTTTTAGCACCGAAATCTTGCTTGGGCTGTGTATTTTGGAATAGCGCCAAAAAAATAAATTATTATGACATCTTTTAGATCACTGTTACAAGTACTCCGATAATAATCATCATTTATTCAAATTCCGATCAAGCTATAAAATCAGAACTTCGTAGATTCATTTTGTCCTTCAGTACTCAGTGGTCTCCATCTATTTGTTATGTACAATTTCCGCCCATTATTGAGCTTGTATATGAAGGAAGCTGTATCTTCAATAGTAAGTTCACTGCCTGAAGACATCCAGGTAACATCAGCCCTATCAATCATGCTTTGAAATCCTTTTTTTTTTTCAAGAAAGGCAAATGCGTTTGCACAAGCCATAGACCTCATGGACGGCGACTGGTGGAGCATTTTTGCAAAGAAATGTCTTTGTGCAGCTTTTATGGTGTGTCCGACGATGCCATACTACAACGAGATGTATCCACACCCGAGCCGGGTATTGACGATGGCGGGAAGCTTTGAATGATGGTGGAGAAGACCTGGATTGCAAAGGCAAAGGTAGATTCTCAGTTAGTATAGTAAGTGTTTTGGATCATGCCATTCGATGTATCGCTCAAATAATTAAAAAGTCTTTGCTAGATTGTGACAGTCTGCGGACTATGTGCATCTGTCAGCTTAGTCTTGACAGCGTTACCTCCAGCTGGGAGCAGCATTGTTTCGTTCCTTGTTTGCAGCCGTTTCTCCATCTCTATTATTTTCGTCACTCGTTAGGGACAGCCTATTTGTGTAGGACTCATGAGTCGAGCCAACATATCCAACAAACATAGCAAAAACTCAACTTTATAGGGAATCTTCATGGGAACATTTTAAAGAAAAAGGCTACGAAGAACATCCGACTTTTACCACCATTTGGTGATTTGGCGCTCGCAGGGGTGGAATTTGATGCCTGCTTGCGCTGCTTTAACCCATTGACGACGACGCCTAATTTTGCGCGGCGGCGCTGTGGGACGACGCGATTCTGCACAACACTTTCAGTGCGGGAAGGTTTCGTGCTTATTTACGAAATGCAACATTGTTTTGTAAACAACTTTTAACATTTTCCTGAACGACAGAGCCTATAGGTCCTAAGAATACAAAAAATTGGAAAAAATACTCATATATGGAAGAAATATTAGACCTGCAGATAATACGACTTTGCGAGAGGTGTGGGCCACCGGGGGTCCACATCGTCTCTGGCGGCAGAAAGCGCGTAGGCCACCGGTGGTCCACACATCGTCGTCAATGGATTAAAGGCACCGTCCAGGCAAATCTGGATTTTGGGGCTTTCACGTAGGTAGTAATTTTGGGGCTGTAAGTAAGCCACTGCCCAACCGGAAGCTTAGGTGGTGCACTAACGGCTGAGATATTCGCCTCGAAACTGGACCCCGGGATCGTATCCCGCATGGATTTAGGGTGCAGCCCATCAATTTCGCGCGAGGACCCAAGGGTTGCGCCATGAATCCATGCGAAATACGATCCCAAGGTCCAGTTTCGAGGCGAATTCTCAGCTGTTAGAGCACTACATGAGCTGCCGCTTGGGCAGTGGCTTAGGGGCCCCAAAATTACGAACCATGTGAAAGCCCATATGTCCAGATTTGCCTGGACGCTGCCTTTAATCATTCTGAGGAGGAGGTTGCTGAGTAGTGGTGGTGGCTCACGTTTTTTTTTTTCAAACGAGTTGTCAAGCTTTATTGAACAGAGCGTGCACCTAGTCATGGTAGTGTCCAGATGTTAACAAAATCAGCTAATAGAGTTTGGGCAAAAATATATTCAGCGGCGGGTTAATTTATGACTCATGCTATTGTGGATTGTGAGGAGTGGTGACAGTTCGCGCAATTGTCGATAACAAACTCTGTCTCAGTAAAATTTCTCGCAGTGATCGCATTTGTTTAACAATCTGACCGTACTTTTTTTCAGAACTTTTGGAAGAGGAATCAAGTCAGACGAATTTGTTTGCTCTTATTCGTTACATCGTGGCCGCTATAGAGGACGTGGATGTGGAGAGAAAAACTATACAAGTGCTGGTGATTGCTCCGAAAGTAGAGGAAGTCAAACAGGTCTGTCGTTTTCTCTATATTTGTACATAAACGGAGGAAAGGTAGTTGTTTGGTTAAAGATATACTTGATATACTTATTCGAGTTTTTGATTTTTTCCGCTGATTGATAAAACTACATTATTTCAGCGAAGAGCTGTTCCCCATTTTGTTTCGTCTTTTTACCATTAATTAACGGGCTAAGGATTGTTTGCTTGTTTTTGTGTGTAAGGTTTTTGTGTTCCTTCATACTACGCTGCGTGCGCCGCGTACGCTGCTCGCAGTGAAAATACGCCCATGGCGGCACAATCTCGCTATGAACACTCGGAAAACACAGGGAGTAGCGGATATAGAAATACAGTGATAGATGGAGTGTGCTGCCATAGGCGTATTCTCGTATGAAGGAACCCTAAAAGCTAAACTAAATTGAAGGCGGCAGCCCATGCGCGAGAGGCGCGCGGGCGTACGAACTCCAACGGTGAGGATGCTCGAACATGCGCGTCGGAGACGCTCGCACATTGAACCGACGCTTTCTCATGGAAGAGCTTTCATGTGTGTTTGTCTGTTCGTTATGAAATCTGTACAGCAAATTTCAGTCAAGAAATTGAGCCCAGTTTTTGCATAAGACATGTCCAGCATTTTTGGTTCACCATACAAAAGCGCGAAAGGATTCGATACTCCGAGCATACAAAAACTGCGCGTGAAGCGGATCCACACATTCGCCTGCGAAACTGCGTCCGTATTTCGGCATCTGCGTCGTGATCTATTTAACAGGTCCATCTGCAAGCCATGGTTCCAGCCCAAAAAGTGGTCAACGTGTGTTCGCGGAAATCGAGCCAAAAAGAATTAATTGTGCAGATCTTCGACTTGTAAAGGATTTACTTTTTGCTGACCACTGCAGGCATCACTAGTCAGCTCGTTCACCGGACGGACTGGACGTCACAAGCACGCGCCGCGAGGTAAAACGCTTGCCCCATTGCTAATTCGCCACTGTAAAAGTCGCGCTCTTCCAACATCTCACCCGCGCCGCGCGTGGTCCGCAGCGTTTGAGCTGTCTGTGCGATCAACGAATTATACCCTCGATATCAACCCATATGTCTTCCCTCAACATGACTGGGATACTGGGTTGGTGAGGCGCCGCCTTACTTCGGGCTTGCGCCAGGTGCGTGCGCATCCTTGACGTGGTGTGGCAACAAGAACAACGTGGGAAAGCCTGCGCCACGTCACGCCAAACAGTGCGCCCGCAACGTGGCGCAAGCCCGAAGCCTCACCAATCCACTTATTCCACGTCATGAAGACATTATGTGTTGATATCGAGGGTAGGTGAGTTAGGTTGCTTTTTCGGGAATGGGAAGCAGGGTGCAGGAAGCGACACACCTAGCGGCGTTGATGTAGTAGGTTACGACTTTTATTCGTTCGAAATCATTTGGAGAGTAGGAAGTTACCCGCGGTTTTTACATTGATGTTGTCAGCATTTCAAGCAAACTTTGGAGTGAGCTGAAGACACGTATGATAGTGGAGCCAGTGCGGCCCTTTGCGAAGCAGAGGTGAGGGATCGGCGCTTTATAAGGGAGATCAGATAACAGTACTTCGTTCTTATTTCGATTCGTTTAGATGGAGGAATCCCACCGATCATCCTTCATATCGTGATAGCTGAATTTTAAAATCCACCTAGATAAATTTTCTCGCTTTCTCATTTGCGACATGACCAAGTATATTTGTTACTTTCAATAAATTACACATTGTTTCAGATTTCTGAAGAGCTGCAAGATTCCCTCTCAAGCACAAACATTTTGGTATATGGTTGCTGTGGAGAAACCAGTAGGAGAGATGATAGCTATGTATTGAGTAATGGTGTCCATGTCCTGATAGCGTCACCTCAGCGAACACGCCGTTTACTGAGACGCGAATGCATTTGTGAGTTTTGTTATAGGTACTGCATTAACAGCAAAACGTTGCTTGATGTGTATTCTCAACTCAAGAACTGTTTTGTGCACAGCGTGATCAGTTTCATGTTTTGCATATCGAAGGTCATAGTCAGATTTCTTTCTCAAAAGCTATAAGTCTCATCTGAGCAAAGATTTCCCAGTGCTTTAGAATGCATTTGAATCTTTGTTGGCCTTGCAGATACGGACAGCATACGAATTTTGGTAATGGTAAAGGCGGATGAGCTCTGCACTGATTTCAAAACTCTACTACACAGTATAATCCATTTTATGCCTGAAAATGTGCAGGTATGATGCGTACTACCATGCAGTTCTTATCTTCATAGTCATATTGCTCATAAGATGCTTTTTCGAAAGACTTTCGATTTTGTTTTCAATTTTCAAGCGCGCTTGCATCGCTCAGCGGTTACTCTTTGCACCGCATTGGGCACTCAAATTACAAACGAAAACTGGTTAGATTTTCCGAGTTCATAAAATTTGTAATCATTCGCAGTAAACCATGTTGTTGTTAACGTATCGTTCAAAGCGTATGGACGGAAACGTTGCGGTTAAAGGCAGTGTCCGGGCAAAAACTCGATTTTGAGATTTTGTGCTTACCCTGGCCTATTCGCTATGCTGAATCCGAAAACCCACATTGGAGAACGCGAAAACGACGAAGAAGGGCTCTAACACTGGAGGGAAATTAGCAAGTGGGCGGGGTCTTCCCCACTGTGAATTCACGCTTCCAGCTTCCAGAGCAATTTTCTCGAATCCGTTACCGCCCTGACATCACTACCGAACAAGTGCAAACGATTGACTTGAAACCGGAATCAAAAAGATCGCCCCCGAAGCTGGAGCGTGAATTCACCGTGGGGAAGACCCCGCCCACTTGCTGATTTACCTCCAGTATTAGAGCCCTTTTTCGTCGTTTTCGCGCTCTCCAATGTGGATTTTCGGATTCAGCATAGCGAATAGGCCCGGGTAAGCACAAAATCTCAAAATCGAGTTTTTGCCCGGACACTGCCTTTGTAAGTGTCATCGCCAGGGGCATGCGAAGAACACAGTAAAGATAGAATATTGACACCCGGTGACTACTGACATCTGCACAGCGTGTGCAATTACCGCATATAGCCAGCCGCCTTCGACCGGGACTGATCATTTCTGTATAATTTCTTACATTAGCGAATTCGCTCACATACCTTGCTTACCTTCAATATTTAAGCGTTTGTTGTCTGTTTTAGTGCATCATGCTATCAGGAAAGGAACCAATACATGCGAGTCTAGCTTATGACATTGCTGTATATCCATACGAAAAGCTTGCCACAAGTGAACCTCATGAAATTGTGATAAACCGAAGACGACATATATGTATCCAAGTACGAGGTGAATAGGAAGAAAATTTATATTGAATTATATGGCAACATTTAGACGATCAACAGAATGAGCAATCTCCTGACTTTTGCAGTTATAATGTGGCTGCGAAGGTATCTGACAAATTTTTTAACCTTGGGGCATCATTCCGTTGTTTTAGAAAACGCAGTTTGAAGTGCTTTGTGATTTGTATCCGAAGCTGGAGTGCAAAAGGACAGTGGTCATATGTCGGCCAAAAAAGGTGGAGCTATCGCGTCCCTTCGCTGTCATGGTCATTATGTTCTTCTATTTTGTAGACTAAATGGATCAAGGAGCACTTAGCGGCTCGAGGCTACCGCATAGTAGTTTGTCGTGTTGGTAAGAAGAAGAAGAAGAAGAAGAAATTCAGAGAGGAAATGCAGACATTTGAGTCGTTGCCATCCGGAGTGATTCTGGTCACGGAGACGTTGGCTAATCTATTCAAAGACAAAGAGGTGTCTACTTTTTCAACTCTTCTTAATTTTTTGGAGCTTGCTTTTGCATGAATTGATAGGATATCGTAAGTCTTGTCGGTTTATTCATAGTCGAAAGCCTTTCGGTTTTTTCAAACGGCTATAAAATCAGGACTCAATGCGTTTTCAAATGCATTCAATGCAACTTTTCTTTGTCTTTCATGAATCTTTCAACTGCAACAGAAATAGGAAAGCTTACAAGTTCCTGCAAGTTGAAGCTTGATCGTTATCAGTAATCATTTTTGCAAAATAATCAAGCCTGATTTGCTCTAAAAATCCACCTTTGTAGAATTTTCGATCCTGAAGTTGTTCATCGATACGTGTTCTTGAGTTTTGATGACCGATAATGACGAGAAACGGACAACATTTTCGGAACAACCTATGATTTCCCGCAAGCCAGAAGTATGCGCAACTTTTTATCACACATCCGCGGTTCAAACTTGCGCCCTCCATCTAATGTGAGCAAGTCCATTCACTACATTTATCTTGCTGCTTTGAAAGGGATTAGCTCTTTAACAGCGACAGCCAGCTACTATATCACTGGATTCCAGTTGAAGTTGTGAATGACACACTTTATCTTGAATAAATTGGAAATTGCATTATTCCTTCATTATTTCTTGAATCGTTCCTGAATGTTACTTTTCTAGATCTCCATCATTGTCAACTATGAAATGCCAAGAAAAGCGAAGGGATATGTGGGCCGTGTGGCATCAACGGATCTCAAGAAAGAAAGAACTGTGGTCAATCTGATTAAAAATAAGCAAGAAGCAATTTTGATGGAAGAAGTCCAGTCGCAATATGGTATCGACATCGAACACTTTATAGATCCACACTGTATGAAGTTTTAAGTGATCATCAAGTGCATGTTATTTTGAGCATGTTCTCAGTAATTGTAGATTAAATGTATTCTTCAACATATTCTCCGTAAATGTATAGCTTTATTCTCTGTTGATAAATATGTACTTGAAGTGACAGGGATCATGCATATGGCTAACAAAGCGTTGTAGCAAGCGTTACTTGGAGCTGCGTGGTGCCGCAGCCAGCGCCAGAGCTGGCGTTAACCCTCAGCTGGCCTCACGTCAGGGGCAGGGTCAAACGTGCTGATGCGATCCGGGACCCTCATTTACGACCCCCTCCCCCCCCCCCCCCCCAAGGGTACCCATCCGTTCGACCCTCCCCCCACCTATCCCCTCCCCCTCCTCCACTTCCTTTTGCGGTAACCTGCATAAACGAATGTCAATCTCAAAAGATGCCTGCCAATAAACCTCAATCAAAATTATAGGTCAGAAGATAACTACTTACAAATTGGGAGATAATGCAAGTAATGCTTCGCCTTTAAAGAAACAAATAAGTCTATGTAGATTGGGTAAGTGGTAAAATTTTACAAATTGGCTATGTTTATTGTGGGAAAACATGAATGGAAAGGACATCATCTGACAAAGCAGAACATCAATTTTGATTTTTAATGGTATTTAGGCTGTACTCTACCTATAAAAAATGAAATAAAATAACAACCAAGAAAAATCAGCATTACGGAACGGTTCACTTCAGTCACTATAACTGAATATTTCATAATAGCTCTTTTCTAGTGAAGGTTAATTAACTTTTCTGCTGTTTATGAATGTTCGGCGTACTTTCATGGTCCAATAGTAACGAAGGATACACACTATGGTTCTGGAAATTAGAACGTTTTAGACTTTAATGAAAGTCCCGTGTTCTATCCCCGTACTAGACAATATTTTTCTGCAGGGAGAAAAACGATATTTTTGAAGCGCAAAAATTGTTTTCGACTAAAAAGCTTACTATCTATCTATTACACAGATTCTCTTGCGAAAAAAGCCGTTTTAGCGCCTTCCAGAACGAAGCTATGAAAATTCGTAACTAAGGTTAGGGAAAAACTGAGAGGCTGTAATGAATAGGCTGTGTAGTATTCTGCCCATACTATCCATGGAAAAAGTTTCAGCCATTGAGGAGCAGTGAGCTCGAAAAAATCTAGATGCGACTCCCGCGAATTTATTAGGTCATTTCAAAAGTTCGTTCGCTGTTCTCTAAAAAATCGTAACTCTCTGCTATCTGCCTAGATTTGCCTGGGATAATTTTTCCTAGAATGAAGAAATCGTAGTTTCTAATTATGGCTCAAATTTGTTCTACCAAGCACAAGTCGCAGAGTTAGAAATGCAAAAAGAAGACCACTTAAATTTTGGTAATTTCAAAAGAGCTCACCAAAAATCTTGAAACGTTACAAAAAATGCCGAAACAAGCACAGACATATGTTTTATGTTCCTTTCTAGCTAAGCAGACTCCTTGTTGAACGACTTTCCTATGAAAAGTAATGATTTTTTAGGAATTTGCTATACGTTTCCCTAAAAATCAAAATTGCTCTCCCTTAGCACAAAAACCTTAGCTAGAAAGAGTATTTCACAAAACCCGTGTTCTTAGCTTTCCTGCCTTTTTTGTGACGTTTTTGGGCTTTTTTGGGCATGCTCAAATTTGCGAAGCTGAAGTAATTCTCTTTATTTGCTCATAACTTCCGATCTTTTTCGTTTTGATTCATGGGAAAGGAACTGTAGTAAAGAGCATAATTTTCTCTGTCAAACAATAGCACTTCCGGAATTTTTCTTGGTCCAGAAAAATGCCATTCTTGAGTAAATTTATTCAATTGCTTTTAACTCTCGAACTTTCTCATGTCATTTCATAGCAAAGACACTGTTGTGAAGAAAAAGTTTTCCTCTTTCAAACAAAAATTGATACGAGAAAATCCATCAAGAAGGAAGAAAGTTATGATTTTTTGAAAAACTGGCGGACTTTTAAAATGACCTAATAGTTGCGATCCTAAAAAGCAAAAACTGGGATCTTTAAACTTGAAATTTTGTAACTCACCGGAGAAGTTATGAAACAGCCTAAAATATTTATGACAGAAAGTATTATCTAGGTTAGTGCAAAAGTAATGCGCGTTTTTCTAGCCCTTGATTTAGGGCAACTTTTCTCCATCAAACTTTCCTCTTTGAAAAAAACTTAGCACATTGCCAAAAAGGTTTCATCCTCTATCCAATAGTGACTGAAATGGGCTTCTAGCTTCATTACTTAAAAAATAATAGAGCATCACACAACCGCGCTCGAAACCAGAATTTAATTGCATTTACTTTTCTGGCCAGAAATCAAGCCCGAATAAAGGCAAACTTTTGAAACTCTAGCTACTGTATTTGATAGGAATTGCCTACATTATGCACATTTTAACAACTTCTCAGAAATACCTAAACTGAGATTTCGACGCCTCAACATGAACAGTTATTTTGATCATTCTGGGACCCATAAATTTCCTGTGAAAAGGGCAATCGCCCAAGCGACAGTTTTTGCAGAACTGTGTAGCTGTTCATTACGCAGAAAATCAAAAAACTCCATATTTTGGGAGATTTTTAGGCCTGCGAAAAAATGTCCAAAAAGCGGGCAATTTTGGATTTTGATTTTTTCCTTTTGGCAAAATCCTCTCTGTTTGGCCCTTTTCAACTTTTTTTGTACTACTGGCTTCCGCCTACAATATAGACTATTTATTATCAATACTAACAATTTTTGAAGAAAGTTATGATCACTTGAAGACAAGGTTTCAAAAAAAAATTTTCTGTTTATCAATCCATATTTTTTCTGCCCGTTGAAGATATGAGTATGGGGTGCTGTGCGCTGTATTGTGAAAGGCTTGGTGCCTCTAATGTTTTTTACGGCATTGAAAAATGTAGATTTTTTAGAGAGTTATAACACGTTAAAGTGAGAGCTCGCAAAACGCGTATTACTTTTGCACCAACCTAATAGAAATTGGCCTCGTAATACAGCAAAGTTGCAGCGAGCGGGCCTCCATAGCGGCGAAAAAATTTAGATGCGACCCAAATACGACCCATACGACCCCCCTTTTTTCATTTCTTGTTGCCACATATAAAATTTAAAAAAGAATCCACAGGCTATGAAATATAGTTAGATTTTGCACATTTGTAGCAGTGCATCTCCGAAGTACAGGTGAATTGTATGGGCCCCGAAAAACATAACAAAAAGGTTTTAAAGATTGTCGATGGTCATCGCTGGTAGAGATGAGCGCTTTTGTCAAGAGTGTGGGACTTCAGTGATTCTTGTGCTTCGGAACCAGAATTTCTAGGCCAATTGGTACATTTAACATTCGTATCACTCATACATGCCTAGTGTTTGAGCTTCTGAAAGTGTCGGAATCCTCGGTCATACTTGTGGGGAGCAAGTTCGATCCCCGTCTGCGACACATTTTTTTGCAGGGAGAAAATGCTGTTTTTTGAAGAGTAGAGAATGTTTGCGACTAAGAAGCTTATTTTCTACACTCCACACTTTTTTGATTCGGGCCACCCTCGGTTACGACCCCCCCCCCCCCCCTCCCCCCCCCCCCCCCCACCGCCGGTGTCTCCTTTACGACGGCCCGTTGCGACAGTCGCATCACACGCTTGACCCTGATGATTATCAGCATTGGCGAATATTCATAGTTCATCAATATTAAGAATGAAAAATCAAGGGATAAAGAACCCGCTGCAGGCATCCCCTAATGCACTCTAGTTGAAATCCAGAAAAAGCAAGAATTCAAAGTTACCCTAAAATCACGCCAATAAGTCCGGACTTATCTGCAAAAAAGCGGACTTATATGCGGGACTTTTGGCGGCGCGAGGGTGCACTTCCATAGAAATAAACGGACTTATCTGGGAGGCGACATATCTGAGAGGCGGACTTATTGTAGGGATTTTAGGGTACTTTTTTCAACGTGCTAAAAAACAATAAATCTGAAAAGAAACGCGCAAATCTCTGAAAAATCATTATTGGTGTCTCTGAGGCAGATTGCAGATTTCCATTTCTATGAAGTCACTATATAGTGGCGTTCCATTAAGAAGAAATGCCGCATGCATTCCAGAAAACTGAACGAAGCTTGGGTTAGATCAGCAAGATTGTAGTACTCTGCGTTGATACCACTGCTTCTGAATGGTCCAGTTTGCCCAGTTTTTTTTTCCATTTGGTAAAATTCCATAAAGGACAGAAAGCGACGTCTGCTAAGATGCGGCCGATAATAAGCTGTATTGGTGGCTCTGATAAGTGTCGTGGTTTTCAATTTAATCGTAAGCGGTATCATCGGCTCCAAACTTATAGAGGCGGAGCTGTGGCAACGCAAAGCGCTGCGGTTTTCAATAGCTAGAAAGTTCGGAAATAAGGCTGTAACGTGAAGGCTCAAAGGCAGTGGCACGGCAAATCTCTTGAGTTTCTTCTGCTTATTTGGGGTAATTCGACGTGCTAATCCCGAAAATCCATCTCGAAGGGCTCGAAAGCTGCGAAAAACAGCACTTCCCAAGGATCCTCATTTTCAACTTGAATGAGTGAAACAGTTCCCGCCATGGTTGGAGACGCAGAGTCGCTGTGGGACCTCATGGTTATAACATTACGGCGTGCCCCCTCCGACGAAAAGAGGGGAGTCGCACGCTGCCGCCACAATTAAAGTCGTACGCTATTCCATAATTACGCATCAAACGAGCCGCGTCGAAAGCACTTTATGAAATGCTGGATACTAATATCATGTCAACCCTGAACCGCATACTGTTCTAATCGATTACTTGAAAATAGTGCCTGGATAAAAATGCTGGGATTTTGGTGAAATGCGAAAGTGGTCCCCTCGGACATGTCGTCGCGCAGGCGCGAGGCCATAACGTTTGAGCAGAAGCCAGAAATATGGTCGGGAGGTTGGGAAATTCAAGCCCTATTGGAGAGCCTCACCGCTTGTAGATTCCGTGCTCTGCAGCAGTGTGCGCTGCCGCCAAGGTTAAAGTCGTAGGGTTCCGCAGTGATTCTGCGTCCC